ATTGGGACCCCTCTGCCCCTGCCCTCACCCCATTTCCTGCCACCCATCCCAGTCTGGCTCCCACCCCGGCCCCGCTGTCGGATTTCTGTCTCTCCGGGGAGGAGGTCAGGGTTCAGCCGCACCCCAAGTGGAAAATGTGGCCCCCCCACATCCTCCAGCTGTTTGCCGAGCGAGAGGCCCCGCACAAAGAAAGGAGCCGCAACAACGGAGGAAATCCCAAAATAGCAGCAAAACCCCGACAAAGGCGAGGCGAGGACTGAGAGTGGAGCGGGCACACGGGGGCATGAGCAGGGGGGATGTCTCCAGCCCCACTCCTGGCTCCGGGTGCCAGAGGAGGGGTGGGAAGGAGGGGATGATGTTGGGATCACTGGGATTGTGGCATGGACAGGCCTGGGGGTATCAATGATTTAGGGGTGGTGCTGATGCCCTGGCAGACCCCAAAGTCCAGGGGTATCAATGTCATGGGTGGGATCCGTGTCCAGAGGGTGCTGATTCCAGGAAGGCAACGATTSCCTGGAGATAACAAAGTCCTGGAAGGTACCAAAGCTCTGGGGGACACCAATTCCCTGGGAATACCAACACCCTGGAGACACCAATGCCCTCGGAGCRTGACAACCCCACCCACGGCCACCTAGGGAAGGTGTCACCTCCGTGCCCTCACAGCCATATCAGTGCCAACTGACCCTCCGCCCAGAAAATCCTCCTTTTCCCCGTCATTATGATCCCAGCAGCCAACAAGCCGCCTCCTGCTCGCTCCAGAGGCAGCTCCTGCTTTTTGAAAGGCTCCTCGCAGCAGTCAGCATTGTCAGCACTTCCCAGCGCCCCCCAAACCCCCCCGGGAAGGGATTCCAATCATCCCGAGCTGCCGCGGCACGCCCTGGATGCTGAGCTGACTCGCAGCGCCTGGGGCAAGGCAGATGCTCAATCCGAGCCCAAATCCTAGCCAGGGGATTTTAGGGCCTCCAGAGGCAGGGCTGGACCCCAGCTACCTCATGTCCATGTGAGTCACGCAGCCCTGGATAACAGGGTCTTTCCTACAGGCACAGTATCCCGGGATAATCCCTAATTCCAGGTCAATTTGCGGGAATTTGGGCTGGCACACCTCCTGCTGGGAGCAGGCCTGGGGATCGCTCTCTTTTTCCAGAGAATTTTCAAAGCCAAGGTGAGTGGAGGACAGGTCCAGGAGCCCTGTGTGGGATATTCCAGCAGAGAATCCCCTAGGATCACCCCAGGATCAGCAGGAATCCTGGGRTAACTGGGATGGGAACAAGCAGTGGCCATAGGGAGCACTCAGATTCTGAGATCCTGCTCCAGTGCWGGGGACTGGAGCATCCACGGAGGGATGGGAAGCTCCATCCATCTCTCCTTCCAGCAGGAACACCATGGGGTCAGTGGAAAACAGCTGCCTCATTAGCATGCCTGACCTGGATTCGGAGCAATTAATTAGGACACAATCAATTAAYGCCTCTGCCCTCCCTGGCTCCGGCCACTGCCAGAGCCCCACGTGCTCTTGCAGCGGTGTAGGGTGTCCCTGGAATGCCAGAACCTGGATAAAACCTTCCTCCATCCTATGCCTGGTTATCATGGGGTTTTAGGTGGTGCCAGGGTGGGCATCAACTCCTCTGTAGCCCCGGGGAGGCTCAGGGACCCCCAAATCTCCTTTGGCATTGGATATATCCACCATGCCCCTCTCCCAGAGCTGTGGGGATCCCGGGATTTGCCAGGGGCTGAACCCCACAGGTTTCTCACCTCTTTCCTCTCGTGGTTGGCGGGACCCGGGGAGGCAACGGAGCCTTCAAACGGGCCCAGAGGTGACGTCAAAAAACCACAGAGGGAGGAAAAACAGCCGGTTCCTGCCCGGGCCCCCTCCCTCGCCTGCTCCGGGCCGGGCAGCGGAGGCGGCAGATCCTCCGTAGCCCCCTGTGCCCCCCATCCCACCACCAGAGCCCATGGCAACCCAGCTGCCCGTCCTGTGCCTCCTGCTGGGAATGTGGGGTGAGTACCAGGCACCCCGGCCTCGGCACATCCCTCAAATCTCGTGGCAGAATCCTTTCTGTGGATTCCCGGGCTGGATCAGCTCATGGAGCCACAGCAGCGCCTTGGCTGGCACACAGTTTGGGGATTGGGGTGGGCAGCACCCTGGTGACCCCCTAAACTCCCACTCACCCACCCTAGGGTCCCCAAAATTGAGCCARTGGGCACTGGGGACAGCCAGGTGTCCCCTCATCCTCATTCCCTGCTGGTTCCTGCCCTTCCCTCAGCCCATGTGGCACCATTCCCAAATTTCCCACTCAGGAGTGGGGCTAATTAGTGGTAATTTGCAGGTCCTTTATATTTTTTTCAGTACTAAAGAACCCCCAGGAGATGGATGGGAAGGCAACAAATCACTTTTTTCCCCCCAAAATCCCCAATTTCACACAAAATCCCCTCTTTCCCCACAATAACCGTCAACGGGCCCGCTGCCGGAGCCACCATCCCAAACTCGGGCAGGAAGCGGGATTGACTCCCCATTTCCCTTCTTTCCCACAGCCATCCCAGACCRTGGAAGAGCCACCTGGATCCCTGGAGGTGAGAATTTGGGGAGCAGCCCCTYGGGAACACCCCACAGCTCCGGGAGCACGGCGGGTGCTGGAGTTGCATCATCCGGAAGCGGCGTCGCGGGGTCCCGGCTCAGCCCCCCACATTCCTYCAACCTCCCCACGCTCCTGTTTCTTGCTCTGCAACCCAAGACACCCCCCAAGGGTTTTTCCAGGATGAAAACCCGCTGGGGATGGAAGGAAAGCCCCTAATGGCTGTGTTTTCCCATTTTTTTTTCCCTGCAGAGCCCACCCTGCGGCTCACCGGAGGYGGCTGCCGCTGTACTGGGATACTGGAGGTGAACTGGGCACAGTGGTGGAGACGAATTTGCTGGGAAAGCGTGAGCGTGGCTGACCTGGATTGGATCTGCCAGCGGCTGGAGTGCGGCCCCTTCACCCCCGAGCCCCTGGAGATGGTTATTCCCAGCGGGAAGAGGCCACAGAGCCAGGCTACGAGGTGCAGGGGGCCACCAGGCACACCRGGATGCCACTGGGAGCTGGAAAACTGCACGGAGCACGTCATTGTCACCTGCAGAGGTGAGCCYGGACCCCCAGCCCGGCCACCTCAAKCCCTAGGGATMATCCATGCCAATATGGCTCTTCTTTTCTCATTTCATTCCAGAGCCGGTGAAAACCACTCCCAAGCCCYCATCGGCACCCCCGGCCACCACCCCGGAGCCCACGGGTAAGTGACACATCCCAGGGGGTCCACGGCCTTAAATTTGGGGACTTCCCGCTAAATAATGGAAAAAAAAATGCAAAAAAAAATTATGGAAAAAAATATGGAAAAAAGCTGTGGAAAAAAATTATGGAAAAAAAATATGGAAAAAAAAAATTGCCACCCCAATCCATAGCACTTCCTCTTGCCCCGTTAATCCCTCTGCAGGACCCCCCAGGCTGCGGCTGGTGGACGGGAATTTCAGCTGCTCCGGCTTCCTGGAGCTGCACAAGCAGGGGCTGTGGGGGGCCGTGGCGAGCATCCCGCACATCTGGCCACAGCTGGTCACCCTCATCTGCCGGGAACTGCGCTGCGGCAACGCTGGGGACGGGCACGGCCAGCCAGATCCMGGGATCCACCTGCCGGTGAGGTGGGAAGTGCTGGATTCCTGTGGGAGCCCTGCCCTGCTCGACTGCTTCAACAGGACCAGCCCCCGGGGGAAAACACCCGCTTTTATCACCTGCTCAGGTGAGAGCAGGCTGCTGCATCCATGATTTCCTGCTCCGGGGGGATAGTGGGGCCGAAGCAGGGAAGCAGCCCCATCCCCACTGCCCCATGGGCCCCATCCACCCACTCCCGCTCTTCCTCTCCGGGGTGCGAAGGCAAAACAGGAAATCTCAGTTCCTGGCAGTGCTGAGCACAGTGGCACCAAGAGGAGGATGAGCCAGGGAGGGTGAGCGGCCATGGCAGCATCCCAAATTCCAGCTGGGAGTGGGGGGCACAGGCAGGGACCAGGCTGTGAGCATCCTGCTGTGGGCAGCTCCCTTGGGCATTTCCCTKAGCACCTCCCATGCCTCGGGCATCTCCCCACTGGGATCATCTCCCTGCCTCAGGCATGTCCCTTAACATCTYCCCTGCTTTTTCATGACCCTCTTCSCTGCCACAGACATCTCCCTGCCACGAGCATCTTTCCATTGCTGTGAGCATCTCCCTGCCACCAGCCTCTCCCGTACCTTTCCCAGAGCGTTTCCCTGGAGATCAGCTCGGTGCCAGCTCTGCAGCACACAAAGCCGAGCCCAAGGTTCAGAGCAGGCTCATTCCCGATTCTATCTGCCCCAGCTTGGAATCCGGTGGGATTTGGGGGTTTAACGGGTTGTGGCAGCTGGCAGAGCCATCTTCCCATGCTGCATTTCCCAAGGGATGAGTTCAAAGCTCCTCCATCCCTGGCTCTGTGGCATGAGGGGAGATGCCAGGAGCATCCCTTTGCCAGGAACTGGTGTTGGGAGGAGGAGCACAAGCCCCTGATATTCCTGTGGGTCTCATGCCTGTCTGCCTGTGGGTCCAGCTCCTCTCTTACTGCAGATCTGGCTCTTCTTCCCATAGTTCTGACCCCTCTTTCCCTRGCTCTGACCCCTCTTCATGGACCCCCATCTTCCCAGGGATCTGCTCCCTGGATTTCAGCCCTCCCTGTGGATCCTACCCCTGTCCCCATGGATCTGCTCCTCTGCCCCACAGATTCCCAGCCACGGGCCCTGCGGAGGCTGGCAGCCGGCCCCACTCCCTGTGAAGGGGACATCCAGCTATTCCACGAGGGACAGTGGCGGGATCTGTGCGACTCCGGAGCGGCGCAGCGAGCTCAGCGTGGCCGGCAGATCTGCCGGGAGCTGGGCTGYGGGAATCTGACATCCAGCACGGAAATCCGGGAGCCTCCCTCGACGGGAGTCACCTGTGGGGTCGGCCCCCTGCACCTCTGCCAGCCCAAGCTTGGGAATATCCAGAGCTGCTCCCGGACCAGAGTCGTGTGTAAGCCACGTGATCTGTAGGGGCTGGGAGATGAAATCCCACACCTATGGAATGGGAAGGGTTGGGGGYGGATGCCACGTGGGATTTGGGCTCGTGGTGGGGTAATGGTTGTTCAAATCCTGGCACCAACCTCCACCTGGGCACACCGGTGACATCCACGCTCTTCCCAGGCCAGGACTCGAAGTCGCTTCCCAGTGGGACATCTGCTGGAACCATTGTGAGCATCTGCCTGGCCCTGCTGCTTTTCCTCATCCTCATCCTCATCTGTGGCCCTCCTGCGTACCGGAAGATGATGAAGAGAAGTAGGGAACAACCTCGGGATCCTCATCCTCCTTTTCCTCCTCTGCCATCCCCACACACCGGCTCAGGGCTGGCAGCTCCACGGGTGCTTCCCTAAACTCCCTCGGGGGAATATTGGCTGCTCAGCCTGATACATCCCCCTGTCCCATTATTCCCATTGTCCCCAAGCCTGTCCCACATGAAKTGTGGGAGGGGGAAGGGGGATTAAGCACCGAGCAGACACAAAAGAGCAGGTGGAGGGTCCTGGGGAGGGTTTATTGGGAAGGGGGGAATTATTCAGGATGACATATGGGACTGGCAGTGCGGGAGCAGCTGCAGGAAGGATCGGGAAGATCCYTGGAGAGACAATTCCCCCTCTGCCTTCCAGTTTCCAAGAGGAAGCAGCGGCAATGGATCGGCCCCACGGGACTCAACCAGACAGGTGAGGAGCAGTTCCCTAGGGAGTTGGGAATGGGGTTTGGAGCTCCTGGGGGTGAATTTGGGGTCTGGGCTGGCTGTTGTCCCCTCTGGATCCTTCCACAAGGGTCCTGGAACTTGCTTGCTCTTGGAATATAACTCACCCAGGTGATTCAGGCGTGGAGCAGGGACCAGTTTTACTCAGCCTCTTCCCAGGGTGGGTTTGTTCCCTCCAAGCTGCTGCTCCACCCCCAAAATCCCAATCCCGCTGTCTTTTCCAGTGTCTTTCCACCGCTCCAGCACSGCGCCAAGGCCTCGGGCACAGGGAGGGGACAATGACTACGCTCAGCCCCCCCAGAAGAGCTCCCAGCTCTCTGCTTACCCAGGTAAATGCTGGAACAGCTCTTCCCACTCCTTYCCCATGGATGTGCATCCAGTGAATCCCATATCCATGCCTTCCACAGCCCTGGAAGGAGCGTGCCGGCGTTCCAACCCTCCGGATAACTCCTCGGACAGCGACTACGACCTGCACTCTGCCCGCAGGGTGTGATTCCCTGCTTCCCAAAGGAGCTGAYCCTTCTCCCACCTCTGCTTGAGGGCATCCCAGCATTCCAGCGCCCTTCCACAAGCATTTCCCAGTCTCCTTGGAGGAGAAAAGGAGGCTTTGGGTTTTTTTTTTAAAGCTATTTATAGGAATTTAAGAGGCAGGTGGGGTGCAAGGAGTCCTTTGGAATAGTGGGATCACCAGTTTCTCCAAACCAGGATAGAGTCGGGATGATGGATAAAGGAAAGGGATGTGAGKGTGGGAATACTGGGAACGAATCTGAGATATTTAATAACCAACAAATACAATAAAATTGGGGGTTTGTACTAATCACAACTTGTCCTCTTCCTTCCATTACCCCAGGGTGATTCCAAACTCCCAGCCAGGAGGGAAAACCAGGACAGGGAAACATGCTTTTCCCTGGGTTTTATCCCAAAGATAAACCTAAGAACAGCAGGAAAAACGGGGTTGAAGATMGTCCTGGGAGGGGGTGAAAGGTTCCATTGATGAGATCCAAAGGAAATTGGATGCCAGGARGGGATAAAGRGATCAATCCTTAGCCGGATGCTCCRTTGTTTCCCAAAGTAACCACGGCTGTGACTCCTGAGTGCAATTATTTCATCCAGTTTTATTGCTCTAATTAATCCTAGGGATGGAATTGCTTCCATCAATCCCTCATCCTAGTCCATTAGTAATTATTCCTTATAAATAACTTACAGGGATACAGGCAGGATTTGTAGGATAAAGTGCTGAGCAAAGCAAATCCCATTTCCATAGTTTGTCATTCCCTCMGTGTCCAAGTGTTTCCTGAGAAGGGAGATGTGAGGAGCCCGAAAAACCACACAGGAGGTCACGAATACTGAAGGCTKCCCAGGCCCAGGTGGGAATCAAAAACTCCCAGTGACAAACCTGGAATAGTTTGGGTGGGAAGGGATCTTAAGGATCAGCCACTTCCAATCCCTTTCCACTGTCCCAGGTTGCTCCAAGCCCCATCCAACCTGGCCTTAGATATGTGCAGGGATGAAGCAGCCACAGCTTCCCTGGGAAATCCATTCCAGGGCCTTGCCACCATCACAGGGAAGAATTTCTTCCCAAAATCTCTTCTAACCCCACTCTCTGACAGCGTGAAGCCATTCCCTCTTATCCTGTCACTCCAAGCCCRTGTCCCAGTCCTTCTCCAGTTCTTTTGGAGCCCCTCTAGGCACTGGAAGGTGCTCCAAGGTTTYCCTGRAGGMCTCTCCTCCTYGGATTTCTGCTGGGCTGGCTCTGCCTCTCGCTCCAACCTCTGGAGCTGTGACTCATCCCACATAATTCTTTCACACCGATAGATCCAGGAGCAACACTCTGGGATCCCTCCTCTTTCTCAGTCCCCAAAAAAAGGAGGAATCAGCATAGGATGCTCCCCARAAGTCCTGGATTAGTATCCAGGCCAGGTAGGACGCTGAGGGTTTGGAGGTGGGGGRTATCCAAAAGGTGGGGGAGGCCCRGGATAGGGAGCCTGCGTTGGGACYGGGAAATTTGGGAGAGGGGGCTGGGTGGGGTATGGACACTGTGGTCTCCCTGCTGCAGGTGGGATGTAGGGAGAGTATCCTGGTCTGGCAGGGGGAGGAGAGGGATGGGGAGCAGGATAAGGTGAAGGTTGTGGTGGGCCCCGAGATGGAGACCAGGAAAAGCCTCCTGAGGTGGATTTGGGATACCCCGGTGCCGAGTCGGGAGCTGCTGAGTATCCAGAGGCTGTAGGAACAGGGTAGGGAAAGGTGGACTGGGAACTGGGCTGGGAGGGAGCCCCGTGGCCCACAGTGACCGGAGATCCCGGGAATGGGGTGGGAGGCAGCGCTCCATGGGCAGTGGGGCCGGGGGGAAGGGCTGGAGCTGGGCTGTAGGGCAGAGGGAAGGCTGGAGATCCCGATGGGAAGGGTTTTGTTGGATCCGTGGGAACGTGAGGAGGAGGAGGAAGAGGAGGAGGCTGAGAGTTCCTGGCGCGCTCCTGGGATCCCTCCGACTTCTTGACGATCTCCTGCAGCTTTTCCACTCGGACCCGGCGCAGGTGGGACAACTTCCTCATCCCTGAAAACTGCTCCAGGAACAACTCCAGGGGCACCTCGCCCTCCAGGAATTTCTCAGCCATTTTCTGGAAGAGAGRATCAGTCTTGGGCTCACCCCTGCATCCCTTTGCTCCTCTTCCCTAATCCCAATTTAGGTCTCTCCCAGACACATCCCAAGGAGCATCAACCACACACAAACAAGGATGGATCCCATTCTTTGAAAAAAATCCAACAAATTCCAAAGTTAATCCACTACTTTAGAGATTGGGCTTAATTGCAAGTCTTTGAGGACTACTCACTAGAATTCCCAATGGATTTAAGCCCCAAACTTACCTCAGATTCCTCTTCAATCTTCTGGCTTTCTATCTGAAGGAGATCCAGCARAGTCTGAGGCTGCAGCGCTGCCGAGAATTTCTCTGGGAAAAGCACAGAGGAAAAGARAAAAAACATGGAAAAACCACAGAACAGAAACCAGGGAAAAACCAGCAGAGGGCCCAGAGGAATGGGCTTGGGAACTGCTGATGGAAGAAGGGAAATCCAAGAGGAATAACATCTTCAATCTTTCTGGCAGCCAGAAAAAGGAGCAGTATCAGTTTTCCAGGAAGCAGGATCCTCCCTGGGGGAAGATCCCAGCACTCACCCAGCTTTTCCTTCTGCTCCCTGCACCTCCCAGCCAGCTCCTGCAGCTCCTGGTATTTCTTGGAGAGGTCGCTTCGACCCGTCTCCAATGGTGCCTGGAATTTCAGGTTCTGCTCAGCCAAGCTGCGGTTGGCAGCCAGAGCCATCTCCCTTTCCAGCTGGAGCTCCTGCACCTGTGGAATTGGGAATGGTGAGCACGGGAAGGGGACAAGGACAACCCAGAGACACCTCMTGGCACAAACCTCCTGGGATTCCAAGGCCAAGCGCTCGATCTCCTGGGAATCCTCCTGCAGCTCCTGGAGCTCCTCCACTGTCCGGTTCTTCAGCGTGTCCATCCTCCTGGATTCCTGGGACATGGAAAACGGGGCAAATCAATCCCCAAATCCAACTGGGAATGGGTTTCCAACTGAAAGGCCTTGGAGCAGCTGCTCCAGGTGCCATTCATGAAAAGGGAGAAATGTTCCTTCTAATTCCTGCTTGGGAAAAGACTTTTTTTCCCCCTTTTCCAAGTCTATTTGAATGGAATTTTGCATTTAGTCAAAGGAAAAAAGCCACCCACAGCCCCAAATCGCAAATGCCAGCTGGATGTCTCCATCCCACTCCAGAGTCCATCTCATTCCAGACGCCACCCCATCCCAGATTCACATTCCACCAAGGAAACTGGGATCTGGCCATTTCCCAGTTTGCCCACAAGGTTGGGAAGGACCTCAGGATCATCTATTTCCACGTTTCTGCCATGAAAACCAGTGAAATAACAAAAAATCAGGGGAATTATGGATTTCCTGCATCAGATCCATTTTTTATATCCAAGTATTCCCAACTGTCTGATATATTTAGCAAGTCTCCTGTGTCTGGTGTAAATTTCAAGAGATGGGAAGGAATAATGTGGGAATGTCCTAAAAAAACRAAGGAAACACAACACACCTGGGCTGTCCTATTCACTCCCAGCTCTTCTACCTCTCATCCAGGTGGAACATCCCAAGGATATCACACCGGCAATGCCACAACAGCCACGCTGAGGCTCAGGGTTGCCCAATCCRCGATCCAGATAAACCTGTCCGAGGGAAAAACTGGGAATTAAGTCCCGCACTGCAGGTGTGGGACGCAAATCACTCGATTTGAGTTATTTTGGGGGGCGTTAACGAGATTTCATGGATTTAAGAAGGAAAAAAAAAAAGGAATGGTGGGAATGGTGGGAATGGGAAGCTCGGGGTTGGCTATGGGAAGCATCCACAGGCGCTCAGGAGGGTGGACACAAAGGGCTGAGCACCTGCGGGGCAGCAGCGAGCGCCGTGCACCCCGAGACCGGCCGGAACAACGCCATTATCCCCGCTGTCCCCGCGTTATCCCCGTTATTCCCGTTCTTTATTCCCGGCCCTCTCCCGGACTCACCCACACAACACCGAGACGCTCCGCCCGCCGCTGCTTCCGGTTTCCGGTGTGCGCCGGAAGTGGGCGTGGCCTGGGCGGGGTGGGAGGAGCTCCCCCCTCAGGCGTGAGGGGAATGGTTCCTCCCCGCGCCGCCATGTTGGGGGGAGCGGGAGCTGGAATCAATTTAATGGAATTTATAAATCAATAATCGCTCTTTGGCTACCCGCGGGGCTATCCCCGAGCTGTAGCTGCTCTAGGAATTATATCCTTCATGTTTCCAGGGTGAAAGGGGTCTCCGGGAGAGCTGGAGAGGGTGTTTTAGAGAAGGGCGTGGAGCCGTGGGGAAAGGGAGAATGGCTTCGCATGGACAGCGGGCGGGTTTAAGTTGTGAGCATCAGTTTGATGTTGGGAATAAATCCTTCCATGTGAGGGTGGCAAAGCAAATCGCCCAGAGAAGCTGAGGTTGCCCCATACCTGGCGGTGTCCAAGGCCRGGTTGRAAGTGGCTTACGAAGCACATACAGACCTCGGCAATATCCCAAAAATTCCTAAGATGTTGGGTTTTTCCAGCTGGATCCAAGAGATCAAAGCAATTTCCTCTRGGATACCTGGGTTAGCACCTCCTTACATGAAACAGGAGTGTTCCTGAGAAAGCCCCAACCCTACCACCCTTTCCACAAATCCAACTTTTCCAATTGCTCCACTTTTCCAGCCCTAACTCCACACACATTCCCAAAATGCAAGCAGGGATGATGCTGGGGAAGAAGTCCATGATTTCTGCTCCTTCAGGAGACTTTAGAAGGTTTGGCAAGGTCACCCAGCTGATCCTGTCACCTTAGACGTGTTGTGTAATAAATAGGAGTCATATGATCCCAAATAATTCCGGATAAATCAAGGGCAATTTGTTCCCAGTGTGACTGATAACCACGTCAAACCCCCTGTGTTATGGGACAGAAAAGGGACTTGACTTTCCAAAGGAAAAGAAAAACGTTTTCCAGGCTTCTTTTGGAGCAGCTTCCAGAGACTTGAAAAAGCTGGAACATGTTTAATGAATGTTTTATATTAAAATAGAAGGATTGAGGAGAGGGAAAGTTGTGTTTGGATTTGCATGGAAGAAGTGGGAAAATACCCATTTAAGAGTGTTACCCAGAAATAAATTTGGGATAAAGAGGGGTTTTTTTTTTGGAAGGATATTCCCATTATCTGCTTATTAATATCCTTAATTTCCACAAAAGATGGTTTCACATGTTTTTTTCCCTTGGATGGTGTTTTAGTCCCAGCCAAAATCACCCACGGCAGGTAGGAAAAGGTGACCTCAACGCCCTGAGGTCCCATTTCAGCAGAATTCCATTCCCAAGGATCAGCCAACATCCCTGGGCTTCTTTGATAAGTTAATCAAATATTTTTAATCCAATCCCGGAAATCTGACACCTCAGGAGCGTCAGACTTCTCTCCTTTCATCTGACAGCTCTGATAAAGCACCCGGGTGATGAAAGCCATTAGGGAAGGGACAAGAAAAGCTGGGAACAGGGCCTGGAAAAGTTGACTTCCTTAATCCATTCCCAAGATAAGCTCTGTCTCCAAAAAGGTGATTTTTTTTTGGGAGGCTGCAGAAATAAAATTAAGGAAGTTTGGTCAGAACAGGTCTGGATGTCCCAAAAGCTGRGAAAATCCCTGTTTGATCCATAGGGTGATTCCCATGGAAGTTAAGTTCATTCCAATGGGTGTTTCCACGTCAAAAATGACCTTTAAAATCTGCATTTTCCTGGTAAAATCACAAGTATTGGGGGRTGTTATTGCCCAGAAATCCTCACCCAGCCCCGGCTCAATCAATCAGCAGGAAAAACTTGCAGATCCATCTTCCACCTGGGGGGTTTTTTTGGATCTCCCCATGCTTTGGTGCCCTCTGGTGCCAAGGAAAGCTGCGCAGAGAGGCCACCTGCTCCCACCCAACGGGCTTTCAGCTACGGRGTGGATTATTCCAGGATCCAGCATCTTATTCCCTCCATTTTCCCACCAAGGTTGGGAAAATCCAGGGTTTCTCTCTGAGGAAGCCATTTCACACCCTAAAATTGATTATTTTTCCATTCTCCCACGTTTTATTCTGGATTTTATTAGTGCTAAATAGCAATTCCATTTTTTTCCCAGTCCTGAATTCCAGAGATTCTCCCCTCTCTGAATATCATCCTTCCAAAAATCCATTGCTGTTGGAACCATTGTTCTGCTTTGATGGGATTTACCAGCAGCRCAATAAACTTGTCCTAAAACTTCCCATAATTGGGCAAATGTTTTTCTCCATTGAAAAAAACAGGAATCCTGATCCCTGGGGATGGCAGTTCTGGGAATTCAATGGATAAACAGCTCTGGGAAAAGTTAATATTTTTGTTTTCTTTCCTATTTTAGCCAAAAAAGGAGGAAAACTTGGTAGCTCCAAAATCTACAGGGACACCTTCCAGGTTGGTTTCTCCAATGTGGTTTTGGATACTTCCAGGGATGGGGCAGCTACAGCTTCTCTGGGAAACCCATTCCAGGGCCTCACCACCCTCACAGGGAAGAGTTCCTTCCCAATATCCCATCTGAATGTCCCATTTTCCATTTTGGAGCTGTTCCCCTTTGTCCTGTCACTCCATTCCCACATGCAAAGTCCCCGAACTGGGGGAAAACTGGACTGAGCTGGGGGAAAGCCAAGCTCCAGATGCCACTGGGTGAAGGTCACCAGAGTGGGATCGGGCGCCTTGGCTTCTCTTGCTGTGCCATGTGCCAGGTCTGTGGTTCCTGGAACGGTCACCTTGTCCAGGAAAAGGGTGGGGCTGGTATTCCTTGGAATTAGCTCCATCAGCTCAAAATGATAAAAAAGTCTGAAGGGATGATGCTAGAAAATAAATGAAGARGAACCTGGATGGGAGATGTTGAGAGAAAAGGGATGGAACACTGGATTATCCCTGAGGAAGAAGGGAGGATGGGTTGTGTTGTAGGGGGCTGGAAAGGAGAAGGGCTTGGCTGAATCCCAGAATGGAAAATCTGGACCTGGCAGCCTGAAAATCYTTCATGGAGCCTTGGCAAGAGGAAAAGGATCTGGAGAGATCTTGAAGCCTCTTCCAGTGCCTTAAAGAGCTGGAGAGGGACTTTGGAAAAGCGCCTGGAGTGACAGGACAAGGGGGAATGGCTCCCTACTACCAGAAGACAGAGTTAGGTGGGATATTGGGAAGAAATTCTTCCCTGCTACAGTGGCGAAGCATTCCTGGGAATGAATTTCTGAGGGAAGCTGCGGCTACCCCATTCCTGGAATGGTCTGGGTCAAACCCTCCAGCAAGGAATCGGGGTGGTGCAGGGGACAAACGACCCCACATTCCCACCAGCACCACAGAATAGCCAGGAGTGCTTCACACCCATCCCAATACCCCTGTGACCTGAATTCCCCCAAGGAATACGGGGATCCCCTGGCTTGACATTCCCCCCCAGCGCCTTCCTTAAGGACGTTTTGATAACCATCCCAGGATCAGTTTGCCTTTCTTATCAGGGCCTCCGGCCAAACACTGGAACTGGGATATAAAGAGCGGGGCCAGGATCAGAGGCACATTTTCTGTGAGCTCCTACCATGAAGCTGCTCCTGCTCCTTGCCCTGGTGGCCCTGGCCCAGGGCCTCCAGATCAGGTGAGCCCGAGGGATTCCCCTTCCCCAAAACAGGGATCTGGGATTCGGGATGATCCTGGTGATGCATCCTGGTGATGCATCCTGGTCCTTGTCCACAGGGTGCCCCTGAGGAAGATGAAGTCACTGCGGCAGAGGCTGCAGGAGCAGGGATTGCTGGAGAGTTACCTGGAGCAGCATCCCTACAACCTGGCTGCCAAGTATTTCCCTGGCATTGCTGTGGAGCCCCTGGAGAACTACATGGATGTGAGGGGCTGGGACTGGGGAGCACAGGGGGGCACTGGCTCGTTATCTATCCCTTTAACTCCTTAACCCATTGCATTAGCCCCTTATCCATTCTCCTCTCCCCATCTCGATAACSCTTTCTCAATCCCACTAAGCCCTTCCCAACCCCATTCTAACAGGATGAGTACTTCGGCACCATCTCCATTGGGACTCCCCCCCAGGAATTCACCGTGGTCTTTGAYACTGGCTCCTCCAACCTCTGGGTTCCCTCCATCTTCTGCTCCAGCCCAGCCTGCAGTAGGTATCTGGAACGTGGCTGTAGTGTGTCCTTTGGGAGCCCTGGATGGCTCTGCCCAGTCTTTCCCGAGGGACATCAGGCAATCCCTGTCCTTCCCACCCCCACAGGAAATCACAACCGCTTCAATCCCGCTGAATCCTCCACATTTCTCAGCACCAACGACACCCTATTCATCGCCTAYGGCACAGGAAGCATGACAGGAGTCCTGGGATATGACACCATCAATGTATGGCTAGGCAGTGCAGCCCCCTCATCCCATGGGGTCCCACATTTGGGATTGTCCCACCATTGGGATTGTGCCCAATCCACATCTGTCTCCCTTTCCCAGGTCGCCGGGCTCAACGTCCGCAACCAGATTTTCGGGCTGGCTGAGACAGAGCCAGGGGATTTCTTCTACTACACCCCCTTCGATGGCATCCTGGGATTGGCATTCCCGAGYATCGCCTCCTCCGGAGCCACCCCAGTGTTCGATAACATGATGATGGAAAACCTCGTGGACAGGGATCTTTTCTCTGTGTACCTGAGCAGGTAAATCCCGTCAGAGCTTCTGAGGATTTCTCCCTTTTCCCTCACACTGGCCCTATTTTCTGCTGGCAATGGAGGTGGTGGTGGGGTGGGAACTGCCCTGGATGGATCCCCCTTTCCAGGGACAGCCAAGGTGGCAGCTTTGTCCTCTTCGGTGCCATCGATCCCTACTACACCACCAAAGGCATCTCCTGGATCCCGCTCTCCGCCGAAACGTACTGGCAGATCACCATGGAGAGGTATTCCCGGTATTCCCTGTCCTCCAGCTGGTGTTTTGGGGAGTCCAGGCTCACCCTGCATCCCTCTTCCCAGTGTCTCGGTCAACGGGGCTCTGGTGGCCTGTTCCTCGGGATGCCAGGCCATTGTGGATACAGGAACCACTCTGTTGGCTGTTCCCATCCGGGCCCTCCGGATCCTCCTGAGCCGCCTCGGCGCCAGTTCCAGTGGTGAGGTGAGGTCTCAGAATGCTCCCTAGGAATTTTATCCCAGCTGGAATGGTCACTGACCTCCCCCTTGCTKCTGTGTTTCCCACAGATCAGCTGTGAAGCTGCCCGCAATCTTCCYGACCTCATCTTCCACATCAACGGCAAGGAATTCCCGGTGCCACCCAGAGCCTATGTGCTAAGGGTGAGCATCCTACTGACTATGGGTTTGTGGGGATACAGGGAGGGATCCGACAGCTGRTGACCTCCCCATTCCATGTCCTTGGAGCAGAATAACGGCTACTGCACCCTGGGATTGCAAGGCATGGATGTGCCCACGGAGGAGGGCGAGCTCTGGATCCTGGGGGATGTCTTTATCCGGGAATATTACGTCATCTTTGACAGGGCCAACAACAGGGTGGGGCTGTCCCGGCTGCCCTGAGCTGGGATGGGGTTCCCAGGTGTTCCCAGCTCGGTGGCTGGCAGGGCTTGTCCCTTTCCTGGCACTCCTGCCACCGCTGAGGACAATAAAGGTGTGGAGAAGCCTCTCTGTGCCGTGTCTCTCTGGGAAAGGCCACCATGTGCCTGGGAATGCGGGGTGGTCCCTGTTGCCACTCTTAGCTGGACCCCCCAAAGGATGTCCCTGTGCCCCCAGGATGGGAGCCTGGATGTGCTCATTCCCAGCCTTGGAAACCCTCATTCCTGGAAAGCTCCCTGCCTTGGGGACCTGGGGCAGAACATGTTTCTCCTGTCTCCAAACCCCACACAGGGTGAGGGGGCTGAACACCTCCAGCACTGCCCTCGGCATCCTGGGAAGCCACTCATCCCAAAATTCCTAGAGGACAAGCCTTGGGGCTCCATGTGCTGGCAGATGCAGGGAAGAAGGGACAGGGAATAAATACCAGAGTGACTTTATTGGTGGCAGGGGGATAGTTACCCCCACCCCAGGGCCAGGCCTGCTGGTCCTGCAGACCCTCTTTTCCTCCTTTCCTTCATCCTCCTCCTCACGGTATTCCAGGCACACCTGGCATCTGGAACCTGGGGCTGTCCGATGGTGTTGCAGAGGGATCCTCATTCCTGGGGGATCCCTGAGCCTCAGGGCTGCCCGTGGCATCAGGGGGAGCTGTGGCCTCACAGGGCGGGTCGGGGGCCACAGTGGGTGCCGAGGAGTATCCGGAGGGACTTGGAGTGGTTGGAGGGGGCTTCCCAGCCCCCCAAATCCCCGGAAAGGGGCCAAGGGGGAATGTGGTGGGAAGCAGGAGCTGGGCCAGGCGGTGGCGGGGGGGGTGAGATATGCCAGGGGGTGAATCTTCAGGGACTGGGGACTGGGATGAGGATGGGGGTGAGGATGGGGACTGGGATGAGGGTGAGGATGGGGACTGGGATGAAGATGGGGATGGGGACTGGGATGAGGCTGGGAATGAGAATGGGGACAGATCACTGCCCTGTAGTGGGAGCTGGATGTCTGTGGCTGGAGGAGGGAGGATTTTGGTCAACACCCACCTCTTTCTCAGGACCCCCAGTCCGGAGGGGGCACGACCAAGTGCCTGGGGATGGATCAGGGGATCCTGTTACCTGGGCAGGATGGGCAGCAGCCCACAGGCAGCGTGGGGGTCTCCTCACATCTCACCTCTCCAAGCTGGGAAAACAGGGATCAGCCAGCCCTGCTAGCCATTCCTGGGATCCAGTGGCACCAGCTCAGGCACCCCATGGACACAGGCATGGAYATGGGAATRGRTAGGKGGTCTCACCTGGCAGGTGCAGCGSGTACAGGGCTGATCCTCGGGAATGAAGCTCTGGCCATTCTCCACCTTCCTGCCCTGGTAGTTGCAGTCTGGGGGGAGCAAAGTCCAGAGGGGGATCAGCTGGGATTTTGGGGGGTTCTGGGGGGATTTGGGGTACCCCTCCAAGCTCGTACCCTCACAGATGGGGCAGCACTGGCCTTCAGGGTGGAAGGGGTAGGAGCAGACGATGGCACATTCCAGAGGCGAGCAGGCCACTGAGCCCAGCTGCGAGAGACGGGAGAGACCCCCGAGGGCCSGGCATTAGGAGCCCCGGAGTGCCCCCAGAGCTTTTCCCTGCAACGGAGCCAAAAACCAGGCTTCAGCCCACACAAGGCGGGAGCTGCAAATCCTCTGGGAATGCCCGGCCCAGCCCTCACCAGGCAGATGCAGCTCAGGCAGGGATCCAGCGCYGACGGGAAGGTCTCGTTGTTGGAAAAGATCCTCCCCATGTAGGTGCAGCCTGCGGGGAGAGGGGCTCAGGTGGTCCCTGGGTGGCTCAGAATCCTGGAATTCCAGGCACGCCCTCACCTGCAGAGCAGTCGGGGCAGCACTGCCCGGGAATGCGGATGGGATAAGGACACGTCTCCACACAATCCGTGCGCTGGCAGCTCACGGAGCCGTCTGCCTGCAGGTGGGAACACCCTGACAGACACCTCGGGATTCCCAGACCTTCTGGATTTGGGGGATTTGGGGCCCACTAGGCCACGGGCATCCCGAGGGAGGGAAKGGGGCAGGAGCCGTGCGCCAGGACRGGGATAGGGAAAAGGGAATGAAGCAGAGCAGGTTCTCATTCACCTGGCAGATGCATAACTCACAGGGATCGCCCGGAGACCAGATCTGTCCGACAGGAAACTCCACACCATTGTCATCCAGGAAGCAACCTGGGTAGGACTCCTGTTCCCAGCTGTCCCACAAAACCTACCCTTCCTGTCCCCAGGGGTTCCCAACATTCCACCCTCCCAGGTATTCCCCATCTCCCACCCTTCCCATCATCAAGTGTCACCACATTCYGCCTGTGTCCCCCCCACATCCCACCCTCCCTGTCTCCAGCTGTCCCCCCTCATCCCACCCTGTCCTTCCCCACATCCCATCCCCAACTATCCCAAAATCCCACTCTCCCCATCCCCAAGCGTCCCCCATGTTCTCCCCTTGCCATGCCATTCCCCTTTCCCCCACCATCCCTCTCCTTGTCCCTCCCTGTCCCTCCCTGCCCGTTCCCAGCCGTGTCCCTCATCCCGACTCACCAGCAGGGGCCGGAGGGTCCCGGCAGGTGGAGCAGCACTGCCCAGGACCCAGGTGCCACTGGTGCTGGGGACAATCCAGCACGGGGCAGGGAGTGAATGAACATTCCACCTCTCCTCCCTGGGAACATGGGAAGGGGTCATCTGCTGTCCCCAATGTCAGCCCCAAGCAAAGCCGGGATATCCCCAGCACGTGCAGAAAAGTGCTGGAGCATCTCTGGGAACCCTTATCCTTGGGAATCCTCATCYCTGGGGACACCCAGGACCCACCTGGCAGACACAGGTGGTGCASTCATCCCCATCCAGGCTGAACCGGGCTCCGTGCACATATGTGCGTCCCCGGAAATTGCACTTTTCTGGGAAAAGGGGAAGAAGTGGGGCTGGAAAACCAAGCATGGCTCTTCTGAAACGCCCAGCCCAGCCTGGGGGTCACCACACCCCCCCAGAGTGGGGGTGCTGGGATCACCTGGAGTGCAGGAGCAGCAGTCGGCCAGAGAGGGGCCAGGGCAGGATCCTGGGGGGCATTCTGGRGAGAGGCAGGAGACATTCCCGACCTGCAGAGGCGAGCATGGGGCTGGGAAAGGGGACCCTGATCCCCCATGGAGCGATGTTATCTGCTCCAGAGCACCCCAATCCATGGCTGAGCCAGGATGCAGAATGATGAKGGTCCCCAGGGACAAGGATGTTCCCAGGGATGAGGGGGGATTCTCCCATCCCAGTCCAGCTCACCAAGCAGACGCAGACGGTGCAATTCCCATCGGATGGGGAGAAGACATCGCCCTCTGCCCTGGCCACCCCCTCATGCAGGCACCCTGCAAGCCATGGGGGTCAGGAGCATCCCCYTGGGGATTCAGGGGAGCCATCCCGGGAATTGAGGGGTCTGGGAGTCCATGACTCACCCGTGCAGGTGGGGCAGCAACCCCCAGCTGGAGCAGGAAGCGGATGGGAGCAGGGAACAGAGCAACTCACAGCGTCACAGAGGACTCGCCCGCCCTGCCAGGATATGCGGTGGCTCATCCTAGGTCGGGATGGTGCCATGGGAAGGGGTGGGAGGACGGGAWGCTCACCTGGCAGGTGCAGCTCCGGCATCCCGGCTCTGTCCAGCGAGTGCCGGGCTCCCGAGGRATCCCCCGGTGCCAGCAATGAGGGGATGGTGGGATGGAGGTGCCGGGGGCACCGTGTGGGGGTGGCTCAGGGGACAAAGATGGGGAGGAGGGAGGGAATTGGGTACCAGGAGCTGCCACAGGGAGATGGGGAGAGGAGGAGCCCCTCAGGAACAGGTGGGAACCGGGAGGGAGCAGGACAAGCGTGGGCGGATGCTGCAGGGATTGCAGGATGGGCGATGGGGCCAGGATGGATTTGSGATACCCTAGGAGGGAAGTCAGAGAGACATAACTCAGGGCAGGGCAGGGAGATGGGAGCATCCCACTCTACTCCCCCCAGCCTAGAGAAGGATACGGATACCTTCACAGGACACCCTGTCCGCGCTGAGCCGGTATCCGGGGCGGCAGGAGCAGCGGAAGCTGCCAGGAGTGTTGTGGCAGCTGTGCTGGCAGGAGCGGCGTGCACCCGGCCGCCGGCACTCATCCACATCTGTGGGATAAGGGAATGTGGCAGGAGGTGCTGCAACCTGGGATGTGGCCCAGGGAAGAGCCCRGAGTGCCAGGGATGAGGATGAGGCAGCAGCACTGTGGTGGTGGAGTGACAGACACCTCCATCCTTTGGGATTCATGGCATGGAGAGGAATGAGGGATAAGCACGGTGCTCACACATGCACGGGCTCAATGGTCATTTCCATCCCTTGGGATTGATGGCGTGGAGTGAGATGGGGGTCTGGGACAGTGCTCAGGGCAACCTCCATTCYATGGGATTGATGGGAAGGGACCCATCCCAGTGCTCACCCACGCAGGAATGCCGATTCCCATGGAGGTGGTATCCGGGCCGGCAGGAGCAGCGGTAGCTGCCCACACTGTTCTCACAGCGGTGCTGGCAGGGCATGGCCTGGCATTCATCTGTGTCTGGGGGTTGAGATGAGGGTCAGGAACCCTCAGGAGCCCCGGGCACCCCCCCAGCCCCCTGCGCACCCTGGCAGCTGCGRTGRTCAGCAGAGAGCTCCTGGCCGGCTCTGCACTCGCAGGCGAATCCGCCCTCTGTGTTCACACACGTCCCCTCGCAGGCTGCGCTCCAGCACTCATCAATGTCTGGGAGGACAAAGCGAACGGCTGGATTTGGGGTGTGGACACCACCCGCTCCCATCGGGATATCCCCTCCCGCTCACCGGTGCAGCGGACGCCGTTGGCCGTCTCTGCCATGGAGAAGCCGATGGGACACACGCGGGCAACCTCCTGGCAGCCGCCGTGGTTACAGGACAGGTCACAGCCGTAYTCCCCACATGGTTCTGATGGCTCTGGAACATGGACATGGTGTCCACAGGAAACCCAGGCCACACTGGCACCACCCGCTTCCCACCTTGCTCCATGGATCCTCCAGGGATGGGGACAGTGCCGGGGAGAGGTGACAAGGAGCCGTGGTGACCTCCATCCACTGAGATTTGTGGCATGGAGAAGGAAGACTGTTGGGCATGGTGCCCACGGGTCTATGGCCATCTCCATCCTTTGGGATTCATGGATGAAGAGGGAAGGGCATCCAGCATGGTCACCTCTCCCAGGATGTCCGGGAAKTACCTGGGCAGGTGATTCCCTGCTCTCCATCCGGGCACATGCAAAGGTTGGGAGCAATGCAGGAGCCGCTGCCGCAGCCGAAGGAGCAGAGCGCTGTGGGAATGGGAACAGGAGCTCTGGGAATGGGAACAGGATCCCCACCAGCCCTCCAGGACCCCRTACTCACGCAGGGTGCACTTCCCACTGCCCGGAGACAGCATCCAGCCGGGACAACATCTGCTACCAGAGCCCAGGAAGCAGACGTGGGGCCCCACGCGGCGCCTGTGGGACACCAGAGCCTGAGGCCACCCTGTCCTGAGCCCCCAGCACGGAGCAAAGGTCCCAGGAATGGGAGGACAGCGGGAGCACTCAGCATGTGCCCGGGTCCCGGGAAGCAGAGCATGGCACGGATCAGAAGAAAGGTGGGATAAGGTGGTACAGAGGGGACAACCCCTTTCTAGCCATCCTGAACATCCCAGCATGTGGTGGTGGGAGAAATGTCTCCCAGCTAGACAGGGATATGGGGAGCAGGACAGGGATGTGGGGAGAAGGACRGGGTCATGCTCCCCTGGACCTGGGAAGAAGGAGGGAATTGCAGGGTGCCAGCCCCTCTGTCTGGGACCCCTCCAGCCAGCCCTCCTGGAGCCGGAGGCAGGGATAGCCGCAGCTCGGCACGCTGCCCGTCCCAGGTGTAGCTGGAAGAGGGAGAAGGAAAAGGGGGGGATCCAGCTACCTCTCCACGGCAAAGCTGGCTGGCTTCTTCCTCGCGGGATACACCCTGCCCTGGCCGCTGGAGAGGAACAGGGACACACAGGCAGCTTGGAAGAGCAGCTCCACCAACATGACAGGCGGCTCCAGCTCGTCCCGGCGCCCGCCTTCCTGCCTGCCTTCCCGCTGGCCCTTGGCCCTGCTCCTCCTCCTCCCGCCGAGCCGGGAACAATGCGGGATTGGTGGGGGGCGAGAGCGGGGGGGTCGCCAGCGACACCCACCGCCCCCCCCAACCCACACGGGGGGTCCGGGATCACCCCAAAATTGTCCCGTTCAACTGGGGAGAGTGGTGGCATCCCAGCCATTCCTGCCCTGGCTGCGTGCTGGGGAACGGGGTCCCCCATAAGGCTTGGGAAGCAGCGGGAAAGGCGTCCCCCCTTCTCTCCTTTCCCACATCTGGCAAAGCTCCGGCATGGCCTCTCCCCACCCCTCCTCCTCCTCCTCCTTCTCCTGGAGGCACTGGGCCGCCTTCCCAGCCCTGCACGCAGACCCATGCGGCGGGGAAAGGGGCCAGGCAGAGCCGGGATGGTGGGATGCGTTCAGGAGGCACAGGGATGCTGCGGGACACTCCGCTCCGGTGACCCCCAGACCCGCCGGGCCCCTCGCCCCCATGCCAGGGCAGGGAATGAAGCAAAGGTCACATACAGGTAAATGATTGAGCCCATGGAGCAAAGGGCGCTGCTGCCTGCAAAATTCCCAATCCAGCACCGATTTCTCCCCACAAAATCCTGCCCACGGATTGGGACCACTCCAGCAAGACACAGCCCCCTCCCAAATTAGAGCCGTGTTGAAGGGGTCATGCTGTTTTTTTAGGAGCCCCAGCGTGGCCATGGGAAGCTCCTGTCCTAAAGGCATGTGATCCCAAAACCCCAGGAGGCAGCTCCATGGCCAATGGCAGTGGATAAACAATGCTCCAATCCTAGCCAGCGGCACTTTTATCCCAAAAAGATCAGGCTGGCAACATTGCATCCACACCAGCACCCCCAGTTTTAGTGGGAAAAGGAGAGCATTTCCAGGATCAGGGCTGCTTCCTGCGCCTCCCAAATTTTGGGAACAAGCTGCTCCAGGCAGGTAAACAGAGCCCGAGGTAAYAAAAGCAGGAGCACAGAGTCCAAGGTCACTCCCTGCTCCCCCAGCTCTGGGATGTCCAAATATAGCTGTCTCACTGCAGCCTCCTCGGAGAATCTGGCATGGAAGCGGAAGCCAAGGATGTTTCCAGCACGAACTGTCTCTGGGAGGGAAGAATTTGGAGAAAACCCGCACAGAATGGGACTTTRAGGGGGCCTCACCAGGAGTTACAGGAGAGATCCAGGCTGGAGGGAGCTGGGAAAGAGCCACGATAACCCCCAAATTCCCTGAGATGTGAAGGAGGTGGGAGACCAGGAGGAGAATTATTAATGAGCAGCCAGAGGCTGAAAAATCCACGTTTCCAAAAACACTCTGTTAAAATCTGCCTCCCCAGGCACTCACAGTGTCACTGGCAACTAGATAAGGAACTAAAATTTTCTACAAAATCAAGAAAAGCCAGAAAAATGCACCTGGAAAACAGGTGTCCCCAAGATCCCAGAGCTGAGGACAGGGATATCATTCCTCAGGACACGGACATTTCCTCTCGGACTACTTTATTTGGTAAAACTCCGAAATCAGCAACAGCTTGAACTTCCCAGAACCTCCCTCCCTGAGCGAGGCATGGATCCTACTGAGAGTTATCCTCCTCGGCACCAGCCTTGGCTGCTCCTCCAGCTTTGATTCCTCTTCCAAAAAAACACAAGGAATCAAAAAAAAAAAAAAAAATCAAGATCAAAAGCAAAACCAAAAGCCAAAAAAGTCTAAGGACACCAGGGAAAAGGGAATCAAGGTGAGGGCATCAGATCTCAGAGGATCACTTGAGGAAAGGGACAGTTCTGGGCACAGCCAAGTCTGCAGAATTCATGAATCCCAGCAGGAGATGACCGACACCACCCCCAAATATGTAACAAGCTGCTCCCCCTGTGAGATTCCATCCCCTTCTGGCTGCTGCCACTGTGTTGGGCACAGCGGGGGAAGGATTCCCTTGCTCCGTGTGGAGGGAGGGGGTAGTGAAGGATCCTGAATCCTGCTAATGGATCCGRGTCAGCTCCTCCACAATCTTTATCAGATCATCCACGGTGGCTTCCCTCTTCATGCCGCTTCCATCGTCGATCTGCACAGGGGGGAAAAGGCATTGGAGACATTGGCAGGTGCCCAAGAACATTCCCAGATCATTCAGGAAGGTGTGGATTTAGAATTTCCCAGAGAGGTTATAGCTTCCCATSCCTGGAAATGCTCCAGGCCAGGTTTGGGGCTTGGAGCAACCTGCTCTAGTGAGTGTCTTAAAGTCCCTTCCAACCRAAYCATTCYSTAATTCTATGATTCCATGRTTTTACTGAGCCTGGATTCCTGAGCRAGGTCCTCAAATGATCCAAGGCCACATTCCCAAGCTCACCTGCAGGTTTGCTACCACTTCCTGCATCTTGGGCCTGCTGATGTCCAGGAAACTCTCAATCAGGTCCCCGTCGATGAACCCCGTGGCCGGTTCAGTCTTCCGTTCGGTGTGGAATGATCTCCAGGTGCTGCTGTCAAGGAGCCAAATCCACAGGGAATAACACCATGGCTATGGTTAACRGTGGGATRGCAGTGCTGGGTTAATGGTTGGACTCCAGGATCTCAGAGGGCTTTCCCAACCTTAATTCCATGATTGCCCAGGGCAACAGCAARCCCGCTCCCACCCTCTCCAGCTGACAAACCCCACATGGCACAGGTTCCCGGCTGGAATGCCAAAGGATATAAGGAATGCTCAATCTTCCCCACACTCTTGATRACTTTGTTGAGCCTGTTCTGCATGTCCAGGAGCAGGTTGTACCAGCTTTCTGACAGGGATGTCACCAGGCCTGCATGGGAATAACAGACACAGGGCTTGAAAAGTGGCAGGGGCGGAGCTGGATGAGCTTTCCAACCCAATCCATTCCAGGATCCTGCGGGGAATCTTCAGCCCCTGCTCCTTACCRATCATTCCATTGACAGTGCCGAAGAGCACAGATCCTTGGGTGGGTGTGGAAGTCTCTCCCAGGTTCTGCATGACCAGGGATCCGTGGCAGAAGACATTGACAAACTCTCCCAGGTGGGATAATCCCACTTCCTGCAGGTGCTGCCGCTCCTCATCCGTCGTGGCCGCGCTGGAATCCCAAACACTCTGCTCAGTCCCAGATGGGGGCACTCCAAAGCTTTTCCTTGCTCTCAAGAGCAGGGAATGCTCCTCCAGTTCTCCTGAAGATCCCATCGTGCCATCCCTCCCAGCATGTGCTGTCACATCCCATCCCATGCCATCCCATTCCCAATCCATCCCATCCAGCTCACCTGTCCTTCTGGCACACAAACAGATTGAAAGCATTCTCTGCTCCCAAGAAATTATCATCATCCAGGATCTCCACAGCGCTCATCCAGTTTGGATTGAARTCCCGGGCAATCTGGAAGGGGCCAAGAGGGGACATGCTGTGTCCAGGCAGCCTGGTCTGGGATCCTGCATCCCCATCCCACCCAACACTAATATTCAGGAGTTAGGTGGGAGCCAGCCTGTCCTGCTCTGTTCCAGGAAGCAGCTGAGCAGGAAAGGCACTCTGGGAGATGGTCCTAGTCCAAGTGGCACTCGGACAACATCCTGGGAAAGTGTGAAGCAGCCGGCGCCAAAGCCACTCCAGCAACTTAAACCCCCAATTCTGGGTGGACACCAGGCATCCCAGATGGCACCTCCCACCCACCAGGCACCAGCTGCTCTTCCCACAGCCAGTTCCCTGGAAGCCGAGGGATCCATCCCTCCACAAACCACAGGGATGCATGTCAAACCTTATTCAGTCAAGCCAAAATCCTTTTATCCCCTCCAACACCATTCCCTGTGCCCATCTTCTGTCAGAACAGATTCCCTGCACCGCTTCTGTACCTCCTCAAAATTCCCTTCCATGGGTTTGTAGGCCAGGAGCAGCACGGAGCGCATGAGGTCTCCCACCAGAATGAAATCCCCCTTGGTTTTCAGGTACAGGGCCATGATGTTGTTGTAGTGGTTGCATTCCGTGCGCAGTTCCTTCTCCGCTGTCCACTCGTACAGGCGGACCTGTGGGATGGGACATGGATTGGAATCCTCCACCCAGGARCTGGGATACACTCCTCAACACACACCTGGCTGACATCCAGATTCAAAAACACACTCCCAAAAYGAGTCAGGGTCTTGCCTACCGTGCTGTTGATACTGGCTAAGAGCTTCCCGTTGAATTCCACCATGGAATACACAGCACCCTTGACCTCCTTCTCAGCCAGGCTCTGCAGCTTCCCTGGAATAAAGACAGGCATTTCCTGGGTTGTTTATCCAAAGGGTGGGCAGTCAAGGGGGTTCAGCTGAGCTGCCCTAATTTTACCTCCTGAAAAACTCTCTCTGAGGGGGACAARTGACATGGAAAGCAAATCCCAGTATCCAGGGCTGGTGAGGGATTCTTGGACTTYTCCAGGAGACAGGGGGAAAGGGAACAGAGCAGCTACAGATCCCGACAGTGGATTCCTTGGGAAAAACTGCCTGCTCCTGGGACACGAGCCCTCCGGGGTCTGAGGAATTCATCCCTGCTCTCCCACAAAAAAGTGGGATTTTTCCAGGTGAGAACACCTTATTCTTACCATCGGAGTAGTGGAAGACAACAATCCGGCCCTGCTTGGGCTCCGCTTCCTCAGGATACACCATGGCAGTGCCCACGATGAAGTAGGTGTTGGGATCCTTTCCCAGCTTGCAGGAGACCAGGCTCAGGGCATACTCATTTTGCAGGAATTGGTGAGCATGAAGCACTGGGAAAAAAGTGGGAAAGGGAGGAACAACTGGGATCCCAAAGTCCTTCAGGAGAAAGCTTAAAACACATCCTAGAGCTTCCTTGAACTATTCCCCACCACCTTGTGCCATCAAAAATTGTTATTCCCTGAACCTTTTGCTGACATTCCTCCAGGAAAATGCTTTGGCTGAAGCTSCCCTGGGCTTCTCCAGGATGGGAAAAGCTGGATTTTGGGATGGGACAGGTACCTTCRAAGGTGTGCTGGTCTATGATAAGCAGGTTGTGCACTTCCACCTCCTCTCCAAAGGATGTCTCATGTGGAGCYGTGCTGCTGGAAAACAGCTTGCTGGTGCTCACACTGCTGGACAAGGCCTGGGAAACAGGAAAATCCGTCACATCCCGATGCCACTTGGGATATCCACACAGCCTGAGGCAGCCAGGGAGCAGGAGGAGGGATTGGAGAACAGGTGGAGCAAGGAATGAGTGAAGGAACACATTCCCTTCTGCAGGGATAAGTGATRGTGTTAATGAGTTCACACGGAGTTGTGGCTTCCAGAGCTGGATTCCTGGGAAAAGGAAAACCTTGGAGACCACACAGAAGCCCTTATGGGACAGGGAAGGAGCAAAACTAAAGGGCACCATGTGGAACAGAGGCTGTGSCACCCCCTCGGAGAGATTCCATCATCCCATTCATCCCTGGCTGAGGAACTGGACTGTACTCACAGCTTTGGAAGGGAAGACCATCGAGGAACACCT